GACTCTCATGCAACCCAACATCGCTCTCCCCATTAGGACTCGTTTCCATATCGGAATCATAGTGACGAAGTAAACCGAGGATGAAGATCCAAATTTGAACGCTGAAGTATGTAAGACTCTCGAAATGTATCGAGTTCCAAAGATACGGACTTCACAATACACGTCAGGGATCATAATCGAATATCGACGCGCTACAAACATACCTTGTAATATCATAAGCTCTCTACTCAATAATGAATATACGCAAGAGGAAAGTCGACAGGATCAATCCTCGTCTGATAAGTGACAACTGCAGCGGAATTGCCGAGCCTCGAAAGATCATGACCATAATTCAGCGTTGATGAAAGACTCGAAGGTCGACTGTAGCCCGAGTGGCTCATTTGACGAAACTGCATGGCCTGCATTCGGCACCTGAGAAATAAGACTGATAAACCCATGACATCACATGCTTGGAGCGACTCCTCCTACGAGAAGGCGAGCTAGGAGCTTATACCTCTATGAAAGCGAGTTTCGCTCCATTCGCGTACATTGAGGCTCGGAGGCTGCCATATACTGCACCGCTTTTGTCCTGCAGTAGGGAGAGGAGGAGACGTACGAGAGAAAGGCATTCTTCCAAAAAGCACCAACCTTCAGAACTTTAACAGGAACAGCCTGCAGCCTCGCTCCATACATTTCCTTCCCTTTCAACTTTGAAATCCAGTCGAATGCACCAACAGCATTAGTTAAATAGTCTTGACCGCCACTCACAACGAGTACCTACGATCGGGAAACGGGCCTTCTAACTCGGCCAGAAGGGGCAACACAACTCCATGATCACGACGCCGTGTTAGGACGCATTGGACCTAGTACGTCCGTTAAAGTATCAATAAAGGCGAGGATCCTTCATGCACTAGGAATCCATGATGACGCACAACGATTTACAATTTAGCGAAACAGCCGCTCAGCAACATAACTGTCCCCCATCTCCACGAGACATGTAACGATGAGATCTTGCGTTGTCGGTCACATAACGTTGTGTCTCCCAACTTGGGAGTCCCAAGAAGAAGAGCTCTATACGACTAGATGATCGATTCTATATGCTGTCACAGCATTGCTGTGCCCATCTCATCCCTTGTTTCTCACTTCTCTACCACTAAACGGCTACTTCTACAACAACCTCATGTCTGGAGTATAAATCGCACGGTGAAACCTACGAGGCATCCGACCCAACGTCCCGATCGCCCCGTCGTTAACAACCTTTGCGGATGCATGAACGACTCAAAGTCTTTGTAACGAAGGATACATCGTGCGGATAGTATCCGAGGCTACGGCAAAATCTAATCCTTAGCATCGGGAATTCCCAGGTTACTCACTTTCAGTCCTGCGTCTAGGAGATTAGCCACTTGGTAGGTTGCATCATAAGCAGTATATCTATCGAATGCATCAAGAACCTAACGAGAGCATTCTTGGCGTGGGGACACTGAGTCAGACCCCACAATTACTCACGTGATCGTTCAGGGACTGCCACACTTTAGAAACCCCCAACGAATTCTGCACAAACTCAGTATTGAGGAATCCACTTATCTGACGGCGATCGTGCAGGTTTTCAGTCCGTGACGGAATGCATGGATGATATGATATCATTGCGGGAATGTGATGGCCATATCTCGACTTTACGTGTAGCCACTGTGTCAACGATATGAGGGTGTGAAGTTTATTGAATGATAGGCAATGGGAACTATTGATTCACCTTTCCAGCATGTAACTTGAATAACGTGCGTTCCTGTCCTGGTGCCACGCGAACATCATAACTGAAGTTGACGAGAAGTCCCTTTTGGAAGGACCAATACTGGACGGTCATAGCCTATGCCGCATAGACATATATCATCACTCCTACTCCGGGGATCATGCGTAATACAATATCATCGATCACGCTACCTAGGACCATGAGGGCTCTCGCTCCTTACCACGATCGATGGGGAGAGGCTCGAACCGATCGCGGCCATGATCCGAGTCCTAGCGTGAAATTGAGACTGAAACTAGAATTTATATTTCCCCAACTAGATGATATAGATTCTAAGTTGGAGTAGCCCTCTCTCAATAAACAGGCGCCGAATTCCCCCCCCCCCCATACAAATTTCCAGCAATAGCTGTGTACTTATGCCCCCGCTAGCCACCAGTACTTATCTATCTAGGGTGACGTCGAGCGCTAAGCCAAGTAGAAGCCGATGCGTTTATAGTGCAAACCTTACACGCTTATATTTGCCTCCACAACTGGGACGAGAACGACTTTCTCGCAGGTGGCTACAGCTTGCTCGCAGAACTCTGAAATTGCAGAAATCATTTAACTACGCTAAGATGTGTTCATGTGGCATGACTGAACTGGCATGGAACTCGGACTCTCTCAATGAAAACCCCACGATCTCACCTGCGACAGGAGATTTCCCGGGACCGTTTTCATTGCACTTGGCTATCTGTTCCTCACACTTCACCAAGCCCGTAGCCATCTTATCAAGTCTGAGTGAAAGCACGGTATCGATGAAATAACAATGAGGAAGCATTTCAACTCAGCCTTAGGTAGCAGTTTTCGGTCCGTCGCCATCTTTAAGCACCCTTGGTAACTGAGACGACCCTCATCAAACACGCCTGTAGGCGCGAAAAACCCACACAGCCTGTGGTGCCACTACTCCAGAAATTATCATCAATCCCACTAAATTGACTTTGTTTGATGTAGACTTGATTATTCGCGATCCCAGTTCAGCCATCATCGAGGCTGAATGAAGTAGGATACTCTCAAAGACAATGGTATGACCGTCTCGGCCTAGGCGACCCCACCCGATGCCGAGGGGCCGATCAGGTGAACGTTGCGGTTGAGATTTTGATGTTGTTTGAAGAATTCGTTGACGAAATCCTCCCTAAATGAGCAGAATGGCTCTATCGGATTGTCGTCGGCAAGCAGCTCACAAGCTCTGCATCAAATTATCCCATCCACTCTCCACAGGTCCTATGCTGAACCCCGCAGGTACCGGTGCATCGACCCAGATACCATTAGTTCCTCTCGTCCAGGAGAACCTGAGAATGTAGAAACTTTGGATCCCATCGATCCATTGGCAACGGGCAATTTCCTTCGACTCACGTGTTCGTAACCAGGTGTTTGGAAGTCGGAGACATAAGGCATGGCCCATTCATCTGCAGCGCGGGTGATATGCTGCTTGCACCGGGGCCACCGTTAATGAATAAGAAAGTGGGTGCCGTCGTAGGGTTCCCATCGGCCTGTATGGAAGTGTAGAATAACCTGCGGCAGGAGTAGTATTACTGTAGTAAGCCAACACAGCACAGCCACTCGTGGCCAAATTCACTTACCTTTGGAGTGGACTGACTTTTATATATCCATACTCCTGTTTACCAGTACCGCTGGGACACAGGACTTTACCAGTCTTAGAAAGTCCACGTGGGGGGCGTGAGGCACTTTCCGCACCAACGAGAGCTACGATGAGTGATAGAATGAGGACCATAATCAATACTTCTGAGCTACTTTTGTACATGAAAATTCACATTCTCATATTCCTTCGGCAGACTCAAACTGCATGTCCCCATCTTCTAATTAATGGAGTTTCATCTGTGATCTGAAAACACTAGTGAATTTTTTCTTTGCAAAATATATTTCACGACTGCTGCATCGTGCGAAGCCTTCGCAGCGAAGGGTCTCATTCCTTGCCGAGGTAAATCACGTAGGGTCTCAACCACGGTGACACCTGGAGTCCAGGTTCGGGACAACCAGAGATGTGATCTGCGTGCTAATGGTCCTAGTGTGGACCACACTGTGACACAAATATCAGGAACAGTGACAGCCCAATCAGGGACAGTGATAGTTTCTAGGTTTCATTCGTCGCATCTGTAAACATGGCTATTCGTGGTCACATTCGTGCACTCCGCGAGCCGCCGACACTCTAGGGGGATGATCTCTTATCGTAACAGACCACTCATCCTCGTACTGAACCCCCAAAAGTGGCTTCCTGTTTCTCGTCAAGTTTGGGTACAAAGCGAGCTATTTCTGTGCCATGCGGGTCGAGGCTTTTTCGCGGTGTTGGAAAAACTATACGTGGTCGGCTACACATGTTGCTGAGGAAGGAACGAAATTTGAAGAAGCCTGAGAACTCGTAGGAAACCTTCCGGAGCCTTCCTAAAAATATCCAGGATTACCCTAAAGTAGGCGGGCAGCCTGCCGCAGGCTGTCTACGTAGCCTTATAGAGACAAACTTACGAGTCGTCTAGCAATGCCCAT